TAACCAAAATATACTTTCCAATATATATATATATATATATATATATATATATATATATGGTTTTTCTTTAAATTTAAACAAAAATTAAAAGCTTTCCTAAATTAAACGACTCCATTTTTGTATATTTACAAGAAAGAATGTGAACTTAAAATAAAAAGAAAATGTGGGAGGACTGAAGTTCAAAAGTTCAAAATTTATCAATTTAACACCCCATAAAGGAAACCTTAGTGACATTATTTTAGGACTATATGTATTTGTTTTAACTAAAGCACTAAAAGTGATTCCCCTATCATAATTTAGGAAAATGTTCGTATATATACCATATATTAAACTATATTACCAAATATGTTCATAGTTTGCATATTACTATTCGTGCTAATAGTATTTCTACATAATATATACAATGCATTAAATAAGGAATCAAGGTAGCTTTATGATTCCTTATTTAGCCGCGCAAAAAGGGGAAATAAATATTTTCCAGATCTTCCCTAACGCAAATCACGCACAATAATAACTATCGTCGACTTTGTTACAAAATTTCCGTACTCTGTTTTTGGGATACACTCTGTTTCAACGTTTTCTCTGATTTCACAATTCAAAATCGACAAAATCTTCTACAATTCTTCTGCAACAAAAGCAATTATGGCGAAAATACCAATTATGCTACAACTGAATGGGAATTGGGATAGCTATGGGAGATTTAGAGAATTTGAGGTCGATGGCATTGTAGTCGATGAGGATGCGAGTTATAATCTATTGATTTCTATAATAGCATAGCAATTAATGATTGATACATCCGAAAAAATTATAGAAATCAAATACATTGTCAACGAGCATTGTCCTCCAATGGAAATTAGGAACGATATGGGTGTTCGTGTATACATGGAGATGAAAAAGGAAAATAAAAACTTAGTCATATCGCTATGTATTACTGTTCGCGATTTCAATATGGAATTGAGTATCACCAATGAGAACACAGCTGCAGGTGTGTGATGTTATTTTCTATGAAATTCTGGTACAATGTCAGTAAACAACATTTTATCTACATTTTAACTACAATTAACTACATATCTATTATTCGTATGGATTTCTGTACTATCTACAAAATTTCTAAATTTATTCTACAATAAAACTACAAAAAAGTTGAAAAATTAATATGAAATGCTGAATTTCAATGTTTCTACAATTTATCTACAAAATTTCTACAAATAAGTGATAACAATAAAAAAATTTTATTTTCATGCAGGTTCGTCTGGAATACTAAATTTAATTGATATGCCACCATCTCCCGTTATAGAGGAATATGAAAATATAATAATAACTGATAGTACACCAAGTTCTATTGAAGTAGGACAAGTATACCAAGACAAGGAAACAATTACAACTGCAATGAAGCACTATTCTGTCATGCACAAGTTCCAATTCAGGGTCAAAAGATCTAGTGGTAGAAGGTATGAACATATGAATAGTCAAATATTATTATTTTGTTAATTTTGTAGTTTATTTGTAATTTTTTACTTATTCAGTTTTTCCCTCTGATAATGTTTAACAGAATTGTAGTTGAATTGTAGTTATATTGTATATAGATTGTATAATGTGATCTTTTAAGCTAAAACAGTTTTTTTTAAATCTAAATTTTAACTCATTGTGTAAAATGTATTTATTTTGTAGCTACTGGCTGATATGTGTTGGTGAAAACTGCACATGGTACTTCAAGGCAACTAGCATAAATGATTCTGCAATGTTCAAGGTCAGAAATTTCGACAGACAGCACACATACTCTTTAATGGACAATACATTCATACAACGCAAACCTACTGCCATGGTAGTTGGTAGCATGGTTATTCCAAAATATTCTGATCCTAAGACAATTTACACCCCAAAAGACATTCAATTTGACATGTCGTCTGAACACGGCGTGAATCTAACCTACATGCAAGCCTGGAGAGCAAAGGAAAAGGCTTTACAGTTTATGAGAGGTCATCTTGCTGACTCCTACAACAAATTGCCTAGTTATTTGTATATTCTAGAGAAGACTTATCCGGGGTCTGTAGTTAAATTGAAGAAGACAGACGATGACTGCTTCTTGTATGTATTTGTTGCGATTTGTACGTCAATCAGTGGTTGGGAATATTGTAGGCCAGTTGTAGTAGTTGATGGGACATTTTTAAAGTCAGCATACAGGAGAATAATGCTAATAGCCAGTACAATAGATGCAGCAGGTACTGAAGTTTTATTGTAGAAATATTGTAGCTTGTATTTTTTTTTTTGTAGTACTTGCAGATAAATTATAGATATATTATAGATATTTTTTTAGAATAATTGTAGTTTGTATATATATGTCTTTTTCTGCAGCCAATTAATTGCTTCTTGCCACATAATGTAGGTACCATATTACCATTGGCATATGTTGTTGTTGATTCAGAGAATGACGCATCATGGAAGTGGTCTTTTGAGCAATTCAAACTCGCGTATGGTGAAAGACCAAATATGTGTGTTGTCAACATCTATTGTTAAGTGAATTATACTTTGCCACGGCACGGTCATACACACTTGATGAATTTAATGAAAGGATGTCAAAGATTGAGGAGATTGACCCCCGTGTTAAAGCATACTTATACGATATTGGCTATCATGGATGGTCCCGAGTACATGCTACGGTGAACAGAACTTGGACTATGACATCAAACATTGCAGAGTCGTTGAATGCTGTAACAAAATATGCAAGAGAGCTGCCGATAGTAGAACTATTAGAGTATATGAGGACCCTTCTTGAACGTTGGACAAAAGAAAAGTTATTGAAATCAAAGGGTTCATTCACATATCTTGGATACAAATTGAACAAAGAGTTGGATGACAACAGAACATTGTCGCACAAGCTTAGAGTAAGATCTGATTATTTATTGAATCAAATTCATAATTAGGACAAATGTAGATATTTTGTATATAGTTTGATTTTAACCGTATATGAATTGTTTTTTTATTTGTAATGTACTCTTAGGTGAGGGCTTCAACAGACTACATCCATACAGTACTAGATAGTGTGAGGCGCTATATTGTTTGTCTTGAAAACAAGAAATGTAGTTGTGGGCAATTCCAGCTTGATGAACTACCTTGTCCACATGCTTTTGCTGCTTTAAAACACAGTGATGAGTCTTTTGAACAATATTGTTCTCCTTATTACACAAGGGCGAACCTCTTGCGTACTTATGAAATACCAGTTAATCCCTTGCCTGATGAAAGTAAATGAAATGTGCCACAACATATAACTGAAGAAGTAGTAAATCCACCTAAAGGAGGGAAAAGGCATCCAGGAAGATCTCAAAAAGAAAGATACAAAACATATGATGAAATAAATTCAAAGAAGTACAAGGTTTCATGCGGCAACTGCGAATGAGAAGGGCATAACAAAAGATCTTGCAAGAATGCACCCAAAAAGAAATAAAATTTTATGTAGTTAACAGAATATTTCATAAAAATTGTTGGTTAGTTCTGGATAACAGATTTTGATGTGTAATTGTTGGTGTTTTGTAAGATCATAATGTAGTTACTTAGGATTTTTCTGTATTGAGACTATACTTTCATAGATTGATTTGTTTATGGATGGTTTCTATATTTTTTTGTAGATATATAAATTTGAAAACCAATATTCTCTCTGTTAATGTGTTTTTGCAGTTTATCTACAATAAAACTACAAAAAAAATATATTATCTGGAATTTACAGAGTTTATACATTATAAATCAGTAGGAAAGTAGTTAAAAACTTAAAATATTATAGATGAAGTATTGTTTAAATTAAAAAAATGAATATAAAAGAAACAAAACACAATGTTAAATATATCTACAAGTTATATACCAATATAACTACAAAAAATCTACAAATATCTGTAACTGACATAATATCTAAATTAAAATTCAGGTAGAAACAACCTATATGGTGAAAATAATATAGATGAGGTACTTTATACATTCAACAAATTGAATTTAAAAGCAACAAAATAGTTAGTTACTGATGTTTACATATTATCTACAAAAAAACAACAAAATAACTACATATTTTTTGTTGACATAATAACTGAATAAAAATTCAGTTGGAAAGGATTTATATGCTAAAAATAATGAAGATCAAGTACTGTAAAGATTCAACAAGTGAATATAAACCAACATAATGTTTCCATTTGAACTACAATAGTAGATAAAAAAAGAAAAGAAACAAAGGCTAATATAATTGTAGCGCAAGTCTGCTACAATTAAAACAGTATAAATTGTTCAAAAACTTGTCTACCATCTTTCTTATAAACTAACATCAACTAAACAATTGTACTACATGTTCCATACAAACATTACAACTACTTCTTCTTTCTCTAGACTCGTGTTTTCTCATTCAAAGCTGGTGCACCTTTCCGCCTTGCCAATTTGCCTGTCACCTCACTATCACTAATTGCCCCATGCTCCTGCTTCTTTCTAGCATAGTCCCAAAGTAGCGCTCCATAGCGTCTACGGTGTTGGTCAATATCAGAAAGGTCTTCTACTGGAATTGATAACTCTCCAAAACTAACATACTCTGCAAAGGCAGCAACAAATACACCACAATCGCTGCAAAAAATAAAAAAATGTCAATATTTACCAAACAATCAGAAAAAAAAGGTTAAATGTATAGAAAGAAAGAAGATTTTTCTTACAGTGATCCTTCTTTTTGCTGTGGTATCTCTCCGACAATCCACTGAATGTTAAGAGGGTCGGTAACAGGTTTCACAATGTATGCTTTTGTATTCTTGAAGTTGATGTTTTTACGCTTCCCATAAAACCCGGTGCATGACAAATACAAAGGGATAATAATAGAAAACTTGTCGACACAAGATTCAACAATATGGTGATTGTGTGAAGAGACCATGGAATCATACACATAAAGACACCTTTCTGCAATGTCAAAAATAACCAACACCCAATGGAATTTTTTCTACAATGTTGACGGGCATGATGACATAATCAACTTCATCCCATGCAACATTTGCGAGTAGTCTATACCCCAATATATATTCTGCTACAACATCATGGGGTTTGACAACAGAAAACTTCTTTTCTTGAGGAGAATTTTGGAACTTTTCATAAATCTGATCAATCCTAGTCTTGCACACACAATCTGTTGTAGTAAACCTGGTCTCGTTGTGGGGCCATACTTGCCTCTTTTTCTCAAGTAATACATTATAACATTAATGTGCTGCAACAAAAACAGATTCCATTTATTCTACAAGTTATCTTCAAATATTCTACACAAAACTACAAAATAACTACAGTTCATACACAAACAGAATACAAAGAATCTATCATTAAGAGTACAAACTATCTACAAATTATCTACAAAAAATCTACAGATCAAATACATTGAATCTTACCGAGTCATTGATGACTTGTCCTGGGTGTGCCAGTGAAAAGAACCACTCCTTCTTGTCAACCTTTTCAACTCCAAGATCCAACCATGGCTTAATTATATTGTCCTTTATAGAATACGGAGCCTTCCTCCTATATAAACAAATAGAAATTATAATAAAATTGTTGAATGCAGTGGATGTGTAAAAGATGAATACTGGCCTAAAAGTGTCAAATTGTGCAACCTAACCTCTTTGAACCTTTGTCGGTGCCGTGGCATAACCACTTGTGGAATTGATCCAACAACTCAGGGTCTACATTTTGACCAATAACACTAGTAAATGGGTGCTTGAGGTGAAAAATTTGAGGTCCAACAGAGGTGCTGTCACCAGAACTGTATAAAGGGAGAAATGGTGATCAGGTATGCTTTCCGGGCTGCCTTGTTCTACCTTGCTCCACGGGTGTTGTTTCATCTTGTATAGGCTCGTCGAACTTAACCAACTGGGAGAAGTTATCAAGCAGCTCGAAATCATCAAGCGTAACCTCCTTATTCTCACCTCCGGATTCTTCTGAATCACCTACATTCACATACTCTGCCTCTTCACCTACATTGTCATCTTCCGGATTCTGATGTTCGCTTTGAGCTGCTACTGTCACTCCGTGAATTGGAGATTGTGCATGTATATCTTCCCTCTCTGTAACACCATGTATATATAACTTAATAGAATTGTAAAAATATTGAAAGAAAAAGAAAATATCTCTGAAAACAATTTCATACCTGCATTCTCTTCATAAATCAACACCAGCTGGATGATTTTCTTCACCAAGTGCACATTCAACACATTTTGTTTTTTCATTAAAAATGTTAAATAACACTGGATAGTATTGGCTTGACAATTTATGAAGATATGAGATAATATCTACATAAATCTGTATAGCTGTGCCAATAAGTTGGATTTAATTGTATATATTATGTATATATAATGTAGACAAATTGTAGTTATGTTGTATATACTTTGTAGTTATTTTGTAGATAAATTTAGATATACTGGAGATATATTGTAGTTACCTGTTTTGCTGGGGCTGCCCTGCACTGGTTCACCACTATTGATCTGAAATTGCTGATTGTTCTTGTCTTTTGGTTTGTCAGTGTTTTTTGTTGAACTCCCAGCAAACTGTAAGTTTTATATTAGTTAGGATATATATTTTAGAGGTGATATAAATAGTTTATTTAATATGATTAAAATTCAAATGTTACCTTTGCATCAACTTGATCATTTGGACTGATTATCACCTGCAAAACAGTCTTGACTGAATCCTTTATTAGGTCTCGAAGGCTACCTAGTTCTTCAAATACATCTTTCCGAAACTTGTCAAGTTTTTCATCGACCTACATAATTAAAAAAATACATAGTTAACTTCAGAAATATGTCTTAAAATACATTAAAAAAACAGATACACTATTATATATACATCGCAATGCTTTTTAGGACTACATCTTACCTTATCAACACCTCTTTTTAACTTTTTTATTTTACGAAGAATAGACTCCTTCTCCTCTTTTCCAATTGATTCTTTGGGTTCCAATGGAGGAGCATCAACTTTTGGAGTCTCAGAAACATGTTCAACCTCTTGAATTGTGTACTTAACTTTATCAGGCAAAGACATCACCGAAAGCTCTTCAGGAGATTCATTTATGTTGGTGAACTGAATGATGAAAAAAATAAATTAGCTTGTTTCAGGAAGTTGTATATAAATTGTAGATATTTTGTAGTTAAATTGTATTATCATAAATAAAGACCATTTACCTTCACCCATTCAGGCTTGACCATTTTGTCTTCAATTACAGCAAACCAAATCTGACCCTTAGTAGCTGACCAGTTTAGTATGCGAGGGATTGAATTAGATAGCTATATCAATATTGACGGAGGAGCAACACTCATACAACCACACTTGCATGGCTAGGGGGGAATCCTCGAATGAGATAAGAATGAACGAAAGGATTTAGCCTGTGCCTAACTGATGCAATCAACTGTCTGTAAGACTGAATACCCCATGGAAATGACTCGTACTTACCGGATTCCACCAAATAAAACCTAAAATGATCTACCAACCCAATATGATCTCTCTCGGAAGGACAAATGAAG